GGGGAAGTGGTGTGGCCGCCATTGTCGCAGCTGCTCCGGAATAAGGAGGCGGCTGCGGCTGCTTATGTAAGTTTGCTTTGGGGCTCGGCGAGGGCGCCTTAGCGCTCCCGGATCCCCATTCCGGAGAACTGCTAGCCAGGAGCTGCTTTCTGGCATTGTAGGTGTTGGACGGCGCCTCGTCCCGCACCTCCTGACACACATACTGGCAGTGGCTATCTTCCGGTTTGACTCATTTGAACTTAGCAATGGGGACATCTCTATAGGAGGGAAGAAAAAAAAAAAAAAAAACCCGAGCCGATTGGCCCATGACCTCCTTTGAAAAAAAAAAATCACACTAACCAGGAAAAAGAGAGAGGCTGCACAATGATGTGTTGCCATGGCTACTGTAGGGCCACTCTTCTGCAAGTGCCATGCCCTTTCTCTTTCTGATCCCCACAGTTAGTGGCAGCAGAAGTGTCACCCAAAGATCCCGAAGGGAAATTCCTCCCTCCCTCGGGCTGACTGCAGGCCCAGGCTGCATACAGGATGCTGGAAGGCGAGATGCAGAACGGAGCATCCTTAGAAATCGCCTTACCGGCCCTCACACAGTACAGAGGAGAAAGCTGCTAGTTTGGGGCTCTGTGGTTCCTATCGAAGGAACTTTTTAGGGGTCCTACGGTGGAGTCTTGAGCCAAGTCTTTGTCGGAGACTGGACAGCCACCTGCTTCTAATAACTTCTGTATTTGTGGCATTAGAGGTCAGCAGAAGATACTTTTGTTCTTTGGTATATTGGTCTGCCGAATGTGGCACTCTTTAGATGAAGAGTTAAGAATCAAGGGAAATTCTTTGAGCCTTCGTGTAGGAAGGGATAGAGGACAAAGTGGAGTTTCTCCACTGCAGTCTTATGGACAGTTTGTAAATTGTATGAACAGAGTAGTGTATTTATTCCTTCCTTCCCCCTTCTAACTGTTGGATACCTGCGCTCCTGCAGCCTTTGCTGTATTTAGAGAAACATGCAAAAGGTGTAGAGGTTTATAAATCCTAAAGGAAAAAGTGGAGAGCTGGGTACCCCACAGGAAATGATGGGGGGGGGTGAGGAACACTGATGTCTTAAGGATCTGTGTGACCTACCACACAGAAAAATGGGTTCATATGCAAGAGGGAGAACAATAAGGGGGTCTGTGGTTTTTGTGTTTTTTTTTTTTCTTGGAAACACTAGGTTTAGAATTTGAAGAAGAGAAAAATCTCACTTAGTCTTTTATCTTTTATTTTTTCCCCATGGTAGGTCTGGCTTGCCTCTGATCAGACTTAGTCTGATCTGAAGATATTGGAGTTTAAGGCATTAAGAAAATAGCCTGAATTGTTCATGGTAAGTATGCCTTAGGGTATTAAGATTAGAATATCATTTGACATTTGATTTTTTTTTTTTAAGTATCTCAGGTCTAGGGGTATCAGAAAAGGAGTAGTGTTCTTGGTTTAAGCAAGTCCCTGGTCCCCACTGTATTCTCTCTCTCTCTCTCTCTCTGTCTCTCTCTCTCTCTCTCTCGTTATACATTTACAACCCTATTCCCTCAGACTTACATTTTATTGAATAAAAGTAAGACAGTTTTTAAGTAGAAAATGTAAAACATTGTTTTTAGATCAATTTTTTAACACATCTGGAGGTCTTTCATGATGGTTCTGAAATTCTTTTGCTTTTAAATGACTCCCAACACTTACCGAGTGCAGGTTGGACCTCCATATGTCCAAAAATATTCAAAATCTGAAAATTTTTGAAGGCTGATTAGAAGCCACAAATGAAAATCCCATACTGTAAGTTTTGTTTAAAATACTATTTGAGCCAGGCAATGGTGGCCACACATCGCTCAGGAGGCATAGGCAGGTGGATCTCTGAGTTTGAGGACAACCAGGGCTACACACAGAACCCTGTCTCAGAAAACTGTAAAAAGCAATAAATGGAAATAAAACATTTTTGAAATACTACATAAATTAACCTTCTTGCTATGTATATAAGGCACATATAAAATATCAACTAGTTTTGTGTTTAGGCTTGGACTGCCATCCCCAACTGATCTCATGGTGTATGTGTATGTATTACAAAATCTGAAAAAAATCTAAAACTTGACACTTCTGGTCCCAAGCTTCCCAGAGAAAGGATACTTAACCTGTATGTCTGTTGTTAACTGGATGGCTGGATCCTGGAACATGAAGCCAGTCATCAGTTTCCTCCCAGATGTCTTTTGGGGTCAGGATCAGCCCAAAGCTGCTATGGAGAGACTAGAAGACGACACAGGCTATCATGGCTACGATGCCCTCTCTAGTTCTTCAATGGTGGCTTGTCTCTTCTCTCAAGGAAATGTAATGCCCACCCCTGATGTTATTTTCCCGAATCCTCCACATCTGAAGTTAGATGTCGCAGACAGGACTTGTCAATTCTTGTTTTCTTCCATGCTGTGTATACATGTCTGCCTGTGTTTGTGGATTCTTGTTTTCTTCTGTGCGTGTATGTGCTGTGTATACATGTCTGCATGTATGCTAACATGCGTGTGTGTGTGTGTGTGTGTGTGTGTGTGTGTGTGTGTGTGCAGCCATTCCTGTGGAGATCCTGGATTCCTTGTTCTTTGAGGCAGAATCTCTCTGTTCAACCTGGAGTTTATTGTTCAGCTAGTCAAGCTAGCCGGCTTTGTTCCAGAATTCATTTGGACCTTCCCAAAATTAGAGGTGACCACCATGTGCCCACCTGCCTTTACACTGGTGCTGGGAGTTCAGCCCCCTTACACTTGTGCAAGTGCTTTTCCCCACTGAGGTCTCTGACTCCAGGACTAGAGGATTCTTCTCTCAACCCTGTAACTTAACATTTCAAGGTCAGGCTGTGTATCAGTCATTCCTCTGTCTTGACAGTCTGACTGCCTGAGTTTTTAAATCACATTTCCTGGTTTTGATTATTAGATCTTAAATAGCTATAGGATGTTGGGCAGCTCCCTAACTAACCCCTTTTGTAAACTGAGGACAACACCTACTTTGTAGGATTATTTGTCTTCAAGTATATCAAGACATCTAAAACATACAGAGTAATGCCTGCTATGTATTTTTGTACAAAGCTGCCATTATTATTATAACTGGGAAACTGTTAATAAACTGTTAATAATACTTCAATATAGCAATATGGAAATCCCTTATCTGGGGTTATTCTTTTCTACCTGTCTTTGGGCTACCTTTAACATCGAATTTCTAACTTGTTAGGTTCTAAATATTGACAGTATGACTGGTTTTTTTCTTTGTTTATTTGGTATTGGTTTAAACTTAACTCCTTAAAAACATTTTTTTTGGGCAGGAGTTTTTCATCAGTATGTCTGAAACCATAAAATATAATGACGATGATCATAAAACACTGTTTCTGAAAACGCTGAACGAACAGCGCCTGGAAGGAGAATTTTGTGACATCGCGATCGTGGTTGAAGATGTGAAGTTCAGAGCCCACCGGTGTGTCCTCGCGGCCTGCAGCACATACTTCAAGAAGCTCTTCAAGAAGCTGGAGGTGGACAGCTCTTCCGTCATAGAGATCGACTTCCTCCGCTCCGACATATTCGAGGAGGTCCTGAACTACATGTACACAGCCAAGATCTCCGTGAAAAAGGAGGACGTCAACCTGATGATGTCGTCAGGTCAGATTCTGGGTATCCGCTTTTTGGATAAACTCTGTTCTCAGAAGCGTGACGTGTCTAGTCCCGACGAAAGTAACGGCCAGTCGAAGAGTAAGTACTGCCTCAAATTAAATCGCCCCATGGGGGATGCCGCTGACGCTCAGGATGATGACGTGGAAGAGATTGGGGACCAGGATGACAGCCCTTCAGACGACACGGTAGAAGGCACTCCCCCGAGTCAGGAGGACGGCAAGTCTCCCACAACCACCCTCAGGGTTCAGGAAGCGATTTTGAAAGAGCTGGGGAGCGAGGAAGTCCGGAAAGTGAACTGCTACGGCCAGGAAGTGGAATCCATGGAGACTCCCGAATCCAAAGATTTGGGGTCTCAGACCCCTCAAGCCTTAACATTTAACGATGGGATGGGTGAAGTGAAGGATGAGCAGACTCCTGGCTGGACAACGGCTGCCAGTGACATGAAGTTTGAGTATCTGCTTTACGGTCACCACCGGGAGCAGATCGCCTGCCAGGCGTGTGGTAAGACGTTTTCTGACGAAGGCAGACTGAGGAAGCATGAGAAGCTGCACACGGCAGACAGGCCGTTTGTCTGTGAGATGTGTACGAAGGGTTTCACCACCCAGGCGCACCTGAAGGAACACCTGAAAATCCACACAGGGTATAAGCCCTACAGCTGTGAGGTGTGCGGGAAGTCGTTTATCCGCGCCCCGGACCTGAAGAAGCACGAGCGGGTTCACAGCAACGAGAGACCGTTTGCGTGTCACATGTGTGACAAAGCCTTCAAACACAAGTCTCACCTCAAGGACCACGAGAGGAGACACAGAGGGGAGAAGCCTTTCGTGTGCGGCTCCTGCACCAAGGCGTTTGCCAAGGCCTCGGATCTGAAGCGGCACGAGAACAATATGCACAATGACAGGAAGCAGGTCACCCCCAGTGCCATCCAGAGTGAGACGGAACAGTTGCAGGCTGCGGCTATGGCTGCCGAGGCCGAGCAGCAGCTGGAGACCATCGCCTGTAGCTAGTGTCAGCTTGGGAACACTTGGCCTGGGAGGTCGATGCCGAGGTCGCGTTGATCGGAGCCTGTCAACACCTTTGACTGCTGCTGTGGCAACTTAGAGTGTTGTATGGCTGGACCTGAGGCAGAGCTCGCTCTGGTTAGGTAATTTTCAAATTTCTCAAGGCAGTTGCGTTCCCACTTTCTGACCAAACAGCCTTCCTCCCCACCCCCCACCGTGGTGTCTAGTGTTCACCTTCCCTGTAAGCTCCCCTGGCCCTTCTCTGTGGCTTTAATTTGAAAACTCCTCTGTCCGGTTGGAAGTGAGCGGCTTCTGTTCCATTCTTGATTTCTCTACGCTTGCCAAGCGGGTGAGTGTGCTGAACAGAGTCATTGGAAAAAAAAAATCCATTTCCTAATCATCCCCATACATGTGACTTCCAGTCAAAACAGCAGTCTTAGTAACTGGATACAAGAACTTCCTGTTAGTTCAGGAAAAAAACGTTGGTGCATGCGGACGCAGGGCACTGTATAAATACAAAACCAAGTTTGGAAACATGGAATGGTGTTAGTTTTGTATTTTCCTTTGGTTGATTTTTAGATATCTCTCTGTATATCATTGTTTTTACTGTTTCTGTGGACAGTAAATGGTTGCCTTGCTGAAGTGTTTCTTAATCCTTTGATGATGGCCCCTGTATGTACTCCACATGCTGCCGGTCACGTGTGCCTCAGGGTGAGTGAGACCACTGGAGTGCTGGCTGTGCCGGAACTGAGTTCCTCTTCCATCCAGGGTGGGCCGCTCTACCTGAGGGTGTCTGTGGCGTGAGGGGAGTGAGAGGAGGAGAGAAGTCTCCAAGACAAGGTTTCCACAGATACAGAAACCCCAAGATTTCCTAGGTCTTCAAATCCTGACTGATTTGAGAATTGGTTTTGTATTCAAGATCAAAATGAGGACAAGAAACAGAAGTGATTCTTGATGTTTTTGTAGGTGACAGATGATCAAGCTTTGGGACTCTCTGGGGCACTCCTTTTCTCACAAAGAAGATGCTGAAATGAATTTAAGATCTTTCAAATGTGTAAATAGTAGTGTTGGTCCTACATGTTTCAAGGAAAAGGACAGCTGCACTTTTTATTATTTTTATTTTTTATTTTTTTTGCACATTGGATTAAAGTACCTTTCATTGGCAACAAACATCAGACTGTCTTAACCAGTATTGAAGATCATCAGACCAAACATTTCATGTTTTCCAAGTATGTTTTATCACTGGCTACAGTTTTCAGTAGAAGCTGGCTGCCTTTTTGTAGCCATAAATCAGAATTATGAACTTTGTTTCAGATCTGGCATACTAAATGTGCTTTTAACTATTTCCTTAGGAGTATATTGAAACGCCAGCAGAGTTTGAATTACGTTCTGTGAGAGAGTATTAGATGATTGTTTTAGGATATGTACAGTTGTAGAAAGTGCCAACTTTTAAGATTCATGTTGGTTCTTAAGATTTTCTTTTAAAAAACATAACATTAAAATGATTTCATTACATGGCTTGCTGTATTACCCGTTACGGCTATTGTGAGAAATTTTTATTTTCATAATTGGTGTACGTGTTATGCCCAAGATTGTCAGGTGGCGATGCTGCCTTTCAAATTCTCTTATTTATTGGTAAAATGTTTTGGTTTAAAATTAATTTTTCCTGAAAGCTCTTTGTGTTCTGTATCGGAGGCAGTCCTGTCAGTGTGTTTCTGTGCTGTAAGGAGGGGCCGACTGCTGTTCCCAGGCTGTGTTGACCAAAGCAAACGTGAAATCAGCTGACATCCTGTTGATAGCTACTTCAACAAACCATATTTTGGGCCTTTGTTTTTGTATATAAAGAAAGTACTCTACTTGTCTTGTTCTCGGTTGTTTCTTATGGCTTCGTTGTACACATCTGGATCCATTACTACCTTAGTCTTGGTTTTACAGAGGTATAGACTTCACATATAAAATTCGTCCCTGTAGAAAGCCTGTAATCATGTCGGTACCTAGAAAAACAAAGAACTTTCGATACTTTTGTAGTACATATTTAGCATTTGAACTACTTTGTACATGAAATGTGTTTGTATTACAACATCCACCATGGGTGCTGGGTTCCTGTTGGAGTGCACATTTCTTTAGATATTTTTAGTGACAGTGGGATCTTAAAATTGCTTTTCTTGGCCCTGACAGTAACACTCCCTCTCTCCTCATCCAGCCAGCCCTAGTCATCCCCTGGGTAGTAAACATCATGTTAGGTTTCTCCAGGGGCTTAGAGAGCACCTCCTGGGTGTGCTGGCTCTGAATCTGCAGCAGAGTAGAGGCTAATCGAAACATCAGCATTGCTACCTTTTCTCAATACTGCTGGTTTCTGTGCAAAGTGTATGTCCACAGACATTGTGTTGGCTTTCATGCCAGACTCCATTTGTTAGGCATTGGTTTCCATAATGAATATTAGGAACTGTAAGCTTAGGGTAGTATGTTAGTCGACTTTCTGTTAGTGTAAAAACAGCTAAGAGAGTTGGCCGTTGGTGGCACAGGCCTGTTACCCCACCTCTCAGGAGGCTGAGGCGAGATCCCAAGTTCAAAGCTTGCCTACGTAGCTAAAGAGTGAGTTCAAGACCACTCTGAGCAAATGGGTGACACGGGATATGGCACAGGATCAAATCGCTTGCCTATCATGCATGGAATTCAGTCCCCTATACTGGAGGGCTGGGGGGTGATGGGCACAGATTCAGACACATTTATAACAGCTCTGAGCCTGGATTTCTTCCCTTTTAAGGTAATGGTGTGGATTTCTACTTCATTGCTTACCATGTAAATGAATGTAACTTTGGGCCCAGTACTCAACTCTCTAGCTACACCAAAAATATTTCCTGGGTCTTTGTGGTATTGGTTTATTTTAGACAGCGTATCACTCTGTAGCTTGGCTGGCCTCAAACTCAAGAGATCAGCCTGCTTCTGCATCCTCAATGTTGGGACTACAGGCACGTGCCAACAAAACCCACCAGTCAAGGAGTTCTCAGTGACACAAGTGTACGTGTGTGTGTGTGTGTGTGTGTGTGTGTGTGTGTGTGTGGGTGTGTGTCTCTGTATAATTGCTGGCTCTGGTTTATAGACTGATAACCTAACCTCATTTAAAGAGTTGGTAACAAAATACCTACAGAAGCTGTGTTTAATCTTGATATTTGTAAGCTACGCATTCACAGCCTTGTTCTTAAAACATTCATCCTAGAATCTTCTTGGGTTTCATAATTGCCCATCATTTGCCCATTCTTAAATAGGTCATTGGCATGTAGACAAGTGTACACCCTAGTTTGGTTGGCTTCCAAACCTACATAGGGAACATGACGACACAGCCAGGATTGCAATTTTGAGAGCCATATGTGAAGTCATCCATCTAGAAAACACTGTTATATAAAGCTTTTCCAAAGTGAATGTTGTTTGGTATTACCCTTCCTTGTTTGCATCAATTCCAAGAATGTATGTTTTGTTGCTGAAGGGATTAAGACTATCACCCTAGAATTTTCATTTTAGTTCTGGAGTTTTCTGCTTGCTTTTCTTTGGAGGTTATTTTTATGAATCTCACAGGAAAGCACTTTCTGTGGAGCAGGATAGTGTCCACTGACAGTCCTGGCTGAATGCCTGGTACTTACAGGGCCAGGAATTGGACTGGGTATTAGGAGTGCAACAATGAGCAGGACCCCATTCCTGCCGTTCAGAAAAGTTCTATAGACTTTAAAGTAGTATAGTCCTCGCACGTGTGCAAAATGCTTTTCAGTTTGGTGTGTATATTGACAGAGTTCGTAGAACATACTTTCTCAGGTAACAAAAGGTTTTTCTTCTGTTGCCATGAAGTTTAGTGGTATCAAAACCAACGAGCAAGGTGACTTAGCAGGTAAACACACAGCAACAAGCCTGAGGGCCGGAGTTTGATCCCCAGGATTCACGTGGAAAGAGAAATGATTCTACAAGGTGTCATTGGACACCACAATGCTGTGGCATGCCCCCACACACATGCACACAGTAAATAAGTATAGTAAAGTTAAAAGAATGCTTCTTATGCAACTGGTCAGATCTAAAGTAACCTTACCTGCCTTGCTTAATTCTAGAACCTGACCCAAAAATGACCAGGAAAAGCCCCACAGTACCAAAGTTCATGCAGTTTCGGGCCAGAACCAGATATGAGATTGGTCATCTGTGCCCAGAGATCTTGCTGAACTTTTCCCTCTGGTACTTCCCCTTCCTAGAAGGTCTTAGCTTCTTGGATCCCGGTTCTATCTCTTGCCCTCAAAAATTCTGCTGGTTCAATAATTTCCCTTAATTTCTTCAGTTGAAACGTATTTGAGGCTGGAGAGATCGCTCAGCGGGTAAGAGCACTGGTTTCGTTTCCAGAGGACACAGGTTCGATCCCAGCACCATATGCCTATAATTCTGATTTATGCCCTACACCTTCAATCTTAGCACTCGGGAGGCAGAGGCAGATCTCTGAGTTAGAGGCCGCCCTGGCCTACAGAGCAAGTTCCAAGATGGACAGGGCTACACAGAAAAATCCTGTCTTGAAACAATAGCAAACTATTTGATTCCCTGCCCAGTTTATATCATTCTTATTCCAACAACAACAACAAAAAAGAAAACAAAACAAAATTAGCTTTAAAATCACATATAACCGACATGAAGGATTATTGACCATCAACAGAATGTCAGAACTAGAAGTTGGGGTGTTCACACTTAATTGAACTGAGCATGTGAGCACTGTTCCTTCTAAATCCAGTAATGCTTCAGCTGTTCTGTTCTTGTCTCCCAGCCAACAAGAAATGCTCTGGGTCAGCAGGCACCAGCATAAACAAGACTGTCTTTAAGGTCTGAGTGCCTGGTGATGTGTGGCACCTCTTCAAACAGGGTTGAAAAGCAAGAGACGAACTCATTTTGGATACTCCACAATTCATCGTTTCCCCCAGACTTCCAAGAATCAGGAGAGAGTAGAGGTTAAGTACCTACCTTAAAAATGTATAAATGCTGGGCGTTGGTGGCACACACCTTTAATCCCAGCACTCAGGAGGCAGAGGCAGGTGGGTCTCTGTGAGTTGGAGGACAGCTAGGGCTGTTACACAGACAAACCCTGTATCAAGAAAGGGAGAGAGAGAGAGAAAGAGAGAGAGAGAGAGAGAGAGAGAGAGAGAACAGAATTAAATTTAAACTTTGGTGGTACATAGACTACATCTAAGTTGTGTGCTAACCAGTATCCCTGGCTCACTTACAGCTTATTTGTCCACACTATGAGCTAGCTACTACTATTCTCATTTATTTTGTTTTTGTTTTTGTTTGTTTTTTTTTATCTAGATCACCGTTCACAACAAACCTTTGTTTGTTTTAGATAGGGTTTTCATGTAAACCAGGCTAACTTCAAACTTGATGTGTGGCTGGGGTGGACACTGCACTCCAATCTTTCTCCTGTGCTTTCTGAGTGGAGTGATCACAGACCAGAGCCATCCTCGGGGCTACTATTCTCAGTTGAAGAAACGAAGAAGGGGCTGAGCCTAGGTTCTTGGACTCTCTTGTTTGTCTCGACTAACAGGTTGAGAACCAGTGATGAAAACCTTTGGCTCCTTCTAAAACTGCAGCATAAATAGTTAAGATTTAGGTTTAATTTGCCATGTATGATTACCCCAGTGGGTGGCCCAGCCTTGTTCCGTGGCAAGTGAACTCTCAGAAAGCCACTATACTGCTGAATCTAAAATATTTGAAACTGGGATTTTCCTTTCTAGGACTAAACTTTGAAAATATTTGTGTCAGTGACAAAATTGAGTGATAATTGGTCCACTAGTGCTGATCTGAGTTCTGGTTCTGCCACTGAGTGGGTCTTGTTGTGCAAATTACTTCCCAGATTTAACAGACTCCCCCCATGAAGTGGAATTAAAAACCTGGGGACTGATATGGCCCACGGACTGCATATGGTCTGGACACCTCAGAGTCAGAGTCTGCTTGCGAGCAGAACTCCTGCTTATTTTGGTCAGCTTCTGTTATTGTGGCAGCTCCCGAGATGGCATAAAAGATGGAAACATTTATTTGGGCCAATAGTTTTACCGCTTCTGCCCCTGGTCACTCTGTTGCCATTTCATTTAAGTTTAAAAATATAAAAGGCACAAGATGAGAGGTGAGAAGGAGTGATACATTAACCATAGAGTTTATTCCAGGTGGGGGAGGCGGAGAGCAAGAGTGGGAGAGAGTGCAAGAAAGAGACAGGAAGGCAGGAGAGCCTGAGAGGAAGAGAAGAGAAGAGAGTGTAAGTGGGCGGGGTCTGCCTTTTAAAGGGTCCTCCACACCTGCGTGCAGACTGAGTTCCCATGGAACCCTGGGCTGACCAGGGTACTGCCCGAGTGGACTCTGCCAGGTAACCGGGGCAGGTCAGTATAATGCCTGAACCTTCCACACTCGCCTCTGTTCCTTTAGGCCTGTTGTAGTACAGTAGATCCCAAGGGCATGAACTAATGTCCTCACAACAGCCATGAAGTACTGTGGTGATACCTTGCTTGTACAAATAAAGCCTGCTGAGGGTCAGAGAATGGAGCTTGTCACTAGCTAACCAGAGAGGTCTGGAGGTCTGTGCAGACCGATAGGAAGTGAGATGGCAGTTAGGCCACGGGCTGTTTATTATTTATTTCCTACAGCTTTTGAAGACCCAAGTCTCCATCATGCCGAGTGCTGACCTCACTTGGGTCTTCCCTTCTGTGCTGTCTAGAACTGCATTCTGGGTTCCTAGCCTTCCTCCTCTTGTTTGAATGGGACCCACCCTCCAACAGGAGCTCAGTGGTCTTGTGAGCTGGGACACTTCAACCTTCACACCTAATTGACGGTGGCTGGCTCCTAA